CTCTGCCTCCCGAGTGCTGGGATTAAAGGCATGCACCACCGACGCTCAACAACCACTTATTTTAAATGTACCCAGAGGAGAAATAAGAGGATCATTTGATCCCAGGAGTTCAAGATTTGCTTGGATAACATAGTGAGAATTCCCCTCAAAAAAATTCAAATACACATTGTGTTGTTTGGTTTGAGTTTTTGAGATAGAAGTCATGTGTAGCTCACTAGGTCTTAAAGTGACTATAGCCAAAGGTTGTTCTTGAACTCTCAAATTCTTCATCTTCTTGCTTCCATCCTCCAAGTACTGGTTGTTTTATAGGTGTGTGTCACTGAGCCTGGCTCCAAAAATACATTCTTTCAAAAAGCAGCTTTTGTTTCAATATCCAAGTAAATTCATTCCTAATTTTAACTCCCAAGACTTCCAATTGTACAAAAGTAATTAATGGTGAAGTTTCACATGTGTGTGTGTGCACACCAGTTTTGCCAGCTACCTTCCATGCCAGAATTTAGCAGTTTTCTCAACATTGGCACAATTTACACTTTGTTGATTCAAGACAGAATTATATTGTTTGTCTCTAGCTCCGATGGACAAAAATCTGCCCCCTCCCCAAGAAAGCATGTATGTTTATTTTATTGAAAGAAGTTTGTCTGCCATCTACCTTGATCACATCCTGAATCACCGCCACCTCATGTGTTCATTAAGTCAGTGATTCACAAAGCAATTACCCAGGCAATTGCATTTAGTGAGCTGGACATTCCCCACAGCCACCTCCCCTCCAGTGGCACTGAAGCTGTCATAACTCAGAGAAGGTGTCTCTTTAATGTGTTGAAAATCGTTGGACTACCCAAGTGATCAGACAAACAGTAAATGAACAAAATGAGGGAAACAGCCAGAGTTTGTTGTCTTCTGCCTCTAGGTCAGTGCTGTAGTTCATTCCTCCTTTCTCTGGGATTGACTTAAATCGACTTTGATGTAGTAAGTGGTCCTTACCATCCTGCAGCCGGATCTACTTTCGTTACCTTGTTCCGTACTTAGTCCTGAAGACTGATGTTCTGCTCTGGCATGTTGCTTATCACTTCCAGATTATTGGTGTAGCAAATATTTTCTTAAAGCAATAATCCCTAACTTGACATTGCAGCTAGAATACCACATGGAGGTTCTGGTGGATTCCTCCATTTTGAATCTTCTATCACAGCCCAACAGTTACAGCAGCTCCCCCACCTTCCTTCAGGTCTAAATTGCTCTTTTTAGGCACGCTCTCTAAATGTCAGAGCATTTGCTGCCACTTGCAATCTTCAATCTTTTTCATAATAGCAGTCTCTAAATCCCAGCGTCTGCTTCCATGTGTGTGCCCAGCCGCCTTGGTAGCTATCTCCTGAGAAGCTGCCACGGTCTTCCCGCTTAATTGCTTGCTGAAATGGAAATATCTAGAACTTCTTCCCAGAATCCCTCTAGAAACCCCAAACTGTATATGCTGGCCTTGCACAGTTCCTTTTAAAGTGAACTGGGACGACAGGGCTATGCTGGCCTAACAATGTTGAGGTGGCAGACACACCTGCAGTGACAGATAATTATAACCATTGCCCTGCCTCTCTTTGCAAGTTTCCTGTTTGGTAGCTGCTTTGAGGATGAATCATACTTGTTTGCACAGTGGCAGCACCTCCTTCACTGCACCTTGGAATACATATGGCAGCCCCTTGTCTAGCAGGGTCCTTTCCTCACTAGTCCCAGTGCATCCCTTTAAGTCACTGAGAGTGAAGTTTCAGAGTGGAAACAATGGCTCACACATCAGTCTCAAGTATCTCCCTACACCCTTACCTTGTGAGGCTCAGAAATGCCCTTTCTGTGAACTCATCTCTAGATAGTAGCCAAGCTTACAAAAACAGAGCTGCCTCGACTCCCAGTTCTTTGAACACTCACAATTCTTATGTTTTACACAAAGGAACACTAAAAATATATTTTATTTTCAAACATTTTTTTTTATTTTAGTTTGTGTGGAATTGTTTTGTCTGCATGTTTGTCAGTCTGTGCACACAAGTGTAGTACACACAGAGTCCAGAAGAGGGCGTTAGAGTCCCTGGAACTAGAGCTACAGATAGTTGTGAGTTGCCATGTTGGGAACCAAACTCGGGTCTTCTGGAAAGGCAGTCATCATCTTAACTCCTGAGCCATCTGTGCTGTCTTCCCAGGCCCTGAAAATATATTTCAACTACTCAAAGTAGTCATTAGGGTAGGAAGGATGGACAAGGATAGTGAGGTGTGATATTTGCACTGTGCACTTTGTAATAGGTTTTAATGTATTTATTTGTTTATTCTTGACACGGGGTCTCTCTATGTAGCCCAGACTATCCTTTGAGCTTATTTCTGATCCTCTGGACTTGCAATTGCTGGGATGAACACATATAATGCCATGCCTGGCTAGGTTTTAGGTTTTCAAACACAACTGTTTAGTTATATGATAAAAATGATTTGCGCCAGGTGTAGGGGTACAAGTCTATAATCCCAGCACTGGGGAAGGTGGAGGCAGGAAGATCAGTTTAAGTCACCTTCAGCTACATAGCCAGTTCAAGGACAGCCTAAACTATACAAGGAGACTACATCTGAAAAAGAAGTAAGGAAGAGGATGAGAAAACCAAGTGGGGTAAGAAACGAAGGTTTCCGCTGGGCATCAGTGGTGCATGCCTTTAATCCCAGCACTCGGGAGGCAGAGGCAGGCGGATCTCTGTGAGTTCGAGACCAGCCTGGGCTACAAGAGCTAGTTCCAGGACAACCTCCAAAGCCACAGAGAAACCCTGTCTCGAAAAACAAACAAACAAACAAATGAACGATTCAAAAAAAATTGCTGGGTTTAGTAGTTCTCACCTGAAATCCCTGCATCTGGGAGACTGAGGTAGGAAGATGGTTATCACTTTGAGGCTAGCCAGGGCTACATAGTGAGCTTGAGTTCGAGTCAGGGCATGCCTCAAAAAAACAAGCATATAAAACAAAGAAACAAAAGCGGGCTGGACAGATGGCTCAGTGTTCAGCTTCCAGCATTCACACTCCCTAAAACTCTCCAGCTCCAGGGAATCCAGCCTCCTTTTCTGGCCTCTAATGGTACCCATTCTCTCTCTCTCTCTCTCTCTCTCTCTCTCTCTCACACACACACACACACACACACACACACACACAAAACAAACAAACAAACAAATAAATAAATAAAATGGCTGCTCTTCCAGAGGACATAGGTTCAATTCCCAACACCCACACAGCAGTTCACAAACATCTGTAATTTCAGTTCCAGGGGAAATGACACACTCTTCTGTCCTGTGTGGGTACCAAGCACATATGTGCATATACATACATGCAACTGGTACACATAAAACTGATACATGTAAAAGAAAATAAAAACTATTTGAAAAGAGAATCAACTGTCTTGGAATGTCTAGGAAGTCAAGATATTTCTATTCATTTATTTCAGTATTTTTCCCTTTTTTGTAAGATACTACTAATTGAACCCAGAATCTTACACATTCTAAGCTACAACTGCTACTATTTCCATGTTATTATTTTTCATGTACACACACAGAAGTATGAACCAACTTAAAGAGGTCAGATAATACTTGGGCATTCCTCAGAGGTGATACAAATAAAACGTTTAAATAAGCAAAACTCGGGTCTCTATTTTCTTTTCTTTTTGAAAGTAATATCTTTTCTTTCTGATGTAATCACATACACAGAGACACACACAATTCAAAAAATGAATAGAGAAGCAAGATAGAACCTCACAAACATGTCTTTATGAGTTCAAAGATGATTACATTTATGTGCTTTTCAGTCATTATACAATGTACAGACATGATCCACTGGATGATTTATGCTCCTCAAATGGTTAAACAATGATTTCCTATGAAATACTAGACAAAAAGCTTCTAGAAGCAGAGTACCTTTTTCTGCAAAAAATATACTTCAGGCACACATTTGTGTTTACGTATATTCCTTCAGAATACTACATTAGCAGTGCATAAAGTTTATTTAAAAGAGCTGAAAGAGAAATCTGTTTTCAAGAGACTCAATGCATTGTGCTTTTAGATAAAAATAATAGGAAAAATAAAGATCAGTTGCTGTGACAAGAACAGTTAAAACTGCACAGATGTCAGAGGTCAGAAAATGCTATTAAGAAATGGAAATAGTTGTGCTTAGGGGATATTTTTGGTAATTTTTTAATAAATAAAAACTTAAAAAATGTCTCAGTGAGTGATACAAAATAGACACAGATATCTAGGGCTTTCTCTACTTGGCTTAGAGTTTAAAGGTGAAAAAAAATCATGTCCTTGGAAACTAACTGTCATCTGACATTCCTAATCAGGGCAAATCACTTACACTCAGGCAAGCAAGGGACTTGGGAGAAAACCAAAAGGTTATTTTTCCCTTAATAACATTAAGGGTTAACCAGAGGTAAAGCCAGGATGAACATACTAAGTTTACAAAATGCCTACCTTCCTTTAGAACTCTCAGGCCAAACAGAGAAGCCAGCCTACTTCTATGAGGTGCCTGGTGTCCAGACCACAGCCTGGTCTGTGGTTCATAAGATGATTTAAATACAACTTGTGTTCTGTGAGCCTCTAGGGTAAGTGTGACCCCCCCAGTAAGTACCTTACCTCTAGGGTAAGTGTGACCCCTCAGTAAGTACCTTGTTTTCTCAACCCTCTCACACGCTGACTGTAACATACTTGCTTTAAAAACACTACAGCAACTCCTTGCAATGATACAGGAAGATTTATGATTTACATAGTAATGTTGATGCTTGGGTCTAGTCTTTTCAAGCTGGTCAGTTGCTCATTTAGGTCTTAAACTTTGAAGGACCCATGACCCTTATCAAAGTGAATTAGACAAAAAAAAAAGATGAAAAATAACATTTAAAGTTATTTGCACAACAGGTATAGATTTTAAAAGAATTTCTTCAAATAATTCCCTATGTTTCACTCAGAAGTATCTTTTTGTTGTCTGTAACATAAAGTGCTAGAGTCCTTCAAATAAAATTATAGACTAATTGAAAATATATACTACACATTTGCAGTTATTTGAAATCATTCAGTATTTTGTAGTGTGTTAATGGAGTGAAATAGAGATAAAAGGCAGTCCACATTCATATTTAAGATAAATTTCCTTCAGAAGTCAGTTTTAATCCTTGTTCATGTTCTAAGTATAGCCATTGTGATAAGACCTGAAAGGGAAAAAAATGGAGGACAGTTAGAGAAATGCATTTTACAAAATCTACCATTCAATAAACAATTGTTTGGAGCTCAGCAAGCAAATAAAATACAGTGCCACAGGCAGGCACTCTACCAAGGACTCAAAGTCAATTTGAATTTAGTTGATATTATACAGAAGAAATCCAATTTACAACAATAGGCCATCACTGGATAGATTTAATGAATCACTTATGTCTGGTCATAGCTAATTTCACTATCAAACATACCTCCTAGTTTATCCAGTCACATCAGCTGTAATAACAGCAGACATGCCATTTAAATGTGTCTGTAAAACCAAACAGACGTCAACAGCCTATTGATGTCAGGGCTTCAGGGCCACAAAGGCACAGCAGTATAGTGTTCCACATTCCCTGAGAGATTCCACGTTTAAAACCATAACTATTCAACAACATAAGAACATGCTCCATTCTCTCTCTTTTTTTTTTTTTGAGACAAGGTATCTCTACATAACCCTGGCTCTCATGGAACTCACTCTGTAGATCAGGCTGGCTTCAAACTTAGAGATCCACCTGTCTCTGCCTCCTGAGTGCTGGGATTAAAGGTGTGCACCACTATACTGGCTTGCATGCTGAGTCTTGGGGAGTAATAAAAAAGAGGACAGTGAAGGAAGTTGACTGCCTAGGACTTAAGCAGTCAGAAACACTGTCTCCAAACAGTACACTGGAGTAACTCTCAGAAGATGGATAGAAAAGATACAGAACCAAGGCAGACATTTCAAGAAAGGGTGACATGATCAAGACTTTAGATAAAGGCCCAGAATTTCAGATGAGATTTTCTAGATGCAGTGAATAGTTCAGCAAGTGCTATTGAAGGATTTATAAAGTGGACTAGATAGACATCAGTTGTATGAGGTTTGTAAACACTGCTATAAATGCCAAGCTATGCTGTTACACTTTATCCCATGGACTTTGGGGGACCAATCGAGATCTTTAGAGTAGGGAGACATCATGAAACTGAAACAGAAGGGAAATCAACCTCATGACAATGTGATGCGTGGTTTGAGGGATAAGGTCAAGGGGGAAGGAACAGGGAGAGTGGGAATACAAGGAGAAAATAGAAGGGCAATTTTGAAATAAAAAAAAGCAAAACAGAAATCCAGATATGATGTATCAGGATTAAAAAAAATGAAACACGAGGAGGGACTTGGTCCCACCTCAACTTAATTGCCAGGCTTTGTTGACTCCCCATGGGAGGCCTTACCCTTTGGGAGGAGTGGATGGAGGGTGGGCAGGGGGGAGGCAAGGGGGCAGGAGGAGGGGTGGGAGAGAGAACTGTGATTGGAATGTAAAATGAAATAAATAAATGGAACACACACATATACATACATACATACATACATACATACATAATACATACATACAAACAAGTAAAAGCAAAAAGAAAGCCTAGTGTGGTGGTGTGTGTTTGTAATCCCAGAGCTGGGGTGGTGAGTACAGGAAGGCTAGGAAGTCAAGGGAAGAATGAGCTACACGAGACCCTGTCTTAGAGGGAAAAAGAGCAGAACAAAAGAGCGTTCTAGGGAACACTGAGTGCAAATAGAAGAAAGAATTGGCATTCGAGTAGAGGTGACAGGAGAACATCAGAGAAGGAAAAGGAACGACTTTTGTTTTAAGATGTTACCTCCTATAGCGGAGGCTGGACCCAAGATGACTTTCAACTCCTAATCCTCATTCTTCCACCTCCCAATTACACTTGTATGCCCAACTGGAATGAATATATTTTATACATGTTTTATAACATTGGAAATCAGTAACCCCTCACAGCAGTACCGAAGCATCTTTAAAACCCTTACCTAAGATATAAGCAGCCACTAATTTTTGATTCACACTTAAGTGGAGGTAGAGAGGCACCAGCGATTCCATATCCCCCAGAGTAGGCAGCATCAGGGCCGCAATACATACCACTCCCAGTAAGACAGTTAGCAAACTAGGTCCTGAAGAGACACTTCTGTTTTCTGTATTAAAAAAAAAGATAATCTCTGAGCTTGCTTCTAAAACCAATATAAGATGCAAGTTGAAAATTCCCTCACAGATAGTGGCCACCGTGCATCAGGACTGTGTTTTGGCTATTTCTGTCAACCAACCCCTTCACTACTACTCTAATCCCATGGAGACTTTCATGTTGCACTTACATGGAAGTCTATAATTTAACCCTCAATCGTTATACAGTGGCTTGCTTAAATGGCAAAGGGAGTCAGTGAAAATAACAGTGATTACAAATTCCCCAACGCCGTTTGTAGTCTACAATCGAAAATACTCCTTCAAGTGTGAATCATAAATGCCTTTAAAAATTATTTTGTTTGTTTGATCGCTCTATGTAGCCCTGGCTGTCCTGGAAGCCAATATGTAAACCAGGCTGGCTTCAAACTCACAGAAATCCACCCACATCTGCTTCCCCAGTGCTGGGATTAAAGGTGTGCGCTACCAAACCCAACACGGTTTTCAATTGTATAGATGACTTCTGTACTAGCATGTACACCAAAGAGAAAACATGCAAACAGTAAAATAATGTGCTAGAAATGAATGGACATCCAACATTTTCTTCCTGTCCACCAGTGGATGACTTGGATATCCCAGAAAGTCCTGACTTAAGATGGCTCAACTTTACACTGCTGTGAATGCAATAGGCATAACAGAAACCACACCCCAGATTGCAAATTTTGATGGTTTTCCGCCTTACTGGCATATGGTATGCTAGTTAGGATACTTGCTTTCGGCAATGAGCTGTAGCACTCTTGTCGGCATAGCTATCAGAAGAAGAAAACACCAACAGCCTGGAGTGGATTGCGTACTCGATGCTTTCCCCACAAATAGCATGTTCAATTTATAATGAGTTAATTGGGACAAATTGGGGATTTAAAATAGTCAAATTCATAGAATCAGAGAGAATTGTGGCTTCCTGGATCTGGGAGAAGAGGCTAATGGACGCTGGATGCTGTAATTCAGTTCATACAAGTCTCAAACATATGAGATTTATACATCTAAAGATGCACTCTGTCACATAGGACCTATATTTAACAATACTATATTGGGGGTGGTCATGGTGACATACACCTTTAATTCCAGCATGAGAGAGGTAGAGGCAGGTGGATCTCTGTGAGTTTAAGGCCAGCCTGGTCTACATAGCAAGAATCAGGATGGTCAAGATTACCTAGTAAGACCCTGTCTCAAACAACAAAAATTGCAATATCCTTTTATACACCTAAAAATTAGTTCAGAATCTGATATAGTAGTGTAGGCCTATTATCCTAGCACTCAGAAGGCTGACGTCAGATAATCATAAGAGTTCAGGACCAGCCTATGCTAGATACCATGCTCTAAACTCATGTTGAGTCACAATAAAAATGAAACATAACCAAACATGGTGGCTCATCCCATCTATTCCAGAGGAAATGGTGGCATAAGTCTGTGATCCTATTTCAGATGCTGAGGCAGGAGGATTGAAATTATAAGGCCAGCTTGGACAACTTAGTGAGGCCCTGTCTCAAAAGTAAATATAGGGATAGAAGATAACTCATAAGGACCTGAATTTGACCCCAGAGGACCTGAATTTGACCCCAGAATCCATGCAAAATCCACAACACACACACACACACACACACACACACACACACACACACTCACACACACACACACA